TGTATGGTGTGCGAAAGGTCAGAAGATATTACTACTGACAGTGGGCCCTGTGCGCGCTAAAGCAAAGTATATGATTGCATACGTTTTACCGGGCACCGCAAAGTATGCCACGTTTGTAGGGACGGCGACTGTGACAGTGGAGTGAACAAGAGGCATGCAAACTAGGCGCTTCATACAGAAGGTTCCGGTCAAGCTCTGAAAATTCCACCATGCGCGACTTTGATATCGACGTAGTTTTGTGCCGCCCCAAAATTAGACAGTTTGATTGGCATCTAAGGTCACAAGAGTCATCTGCATATGATACGCAAGTCTGACGAGTCTGACGCAGCAATCTTGCTAAGCCGAAAGATGGGTTTGGCGGCCTCAGAGTGAGAACCGGTTGCGCTTGCAGACACACATTTACGCCGGTAAAGAAACATCATTAGCACAATGGTTGCATCTTCCTATGCAACCATAAAAGTCAGCAAACAATAGCGCAGGGTCTCTAACATCGGCTTATCAGCAATCGCATAACTTTCGAGGTAAATTGACGGCTAACACGGTCTGGCAGATAGGATGGAACTGGACAACTCATGAAGATATCAACTGGCAAATAGTTGAAGTATTTTTGGTAAACATTTCAAAAAGGGAAACCAGGATTGACGAGCGTATTTACTTTAAAAAAGGTAGACAGGCACTCAAGCGGACCACATTTCCATTTTTAGGCAAGCTCACGTTGCGTTTCGAGTCGACATGGACAGTGTAAGCCGTTTGGCGAACGAGTTGTGTGAAACTGGCTTTAACGTCAAAACTTCTGAAATGGGTACAACTATAAATGGATGCTAAGGTTCAAGTTCCATGACTAAAGGAGAGGGCTGGGCTAGCACCGGAACAGTGTGTTGATCATTCTGAGCTTTCGAACTCGTTCGGGAGTTCACCGTCGCTCCTACTATCTCCGACTATGAACTTCTATGTAAGTTTGAAAGCTCAGAATACCAAACAGTCGCGGTGCTCAAGCAGCTGGTTCCTTTGCTTATTTGTATTAAGCATAGCTGGGTTAAATGCGGGGTGACACCCTACTCGGATGAATAGCAATCGGTTTTGTCTTGCGAAGTGAATACTCTATTGCCTAACATTGTCGAGCGAAGGCACACCGATAAGCACGGTGTCGGCAACCTGGGTCTTCGAAAAATTCACTAATCAGACTATCAAGCCAAATGAGATGGTGTTCTTTGAAATTACCTCACTACACTAGCTTGGAATGAGGACTGACTCAATGTTCTGATCTAGTTATTTGTTGCACACCAAGTTATAGAAGGAGGGCTGCAAGAGACACAAAGACACTTAGACTGAGGGAGACCCGGCGTTTTTCGACCGCTTCAGATTCCTCGTGTGATAATTATTTAAAAGCCCAAGCTGCAAATTGGCAGAATGTGATGTGAACGAATGACCGCTAAGAACAAAGGCACTTATTAAGTTTTTTTACCCGGAATCCAGTACTTAAAAGCTTCATGCGTCGAAACCCATGAAAAAAGGTTTTCGCCGCGTTTCAAAAATAGGAAAAAATGACTGTGAAGAGGCAGAAAACTGACTGGCAAAGAGCATAATCCTGATTCAACTTCGGCATGTTGGGATGCTGGCTTTCGGATGGGCGCATTTCCATTTGCCTGAATAAACTACACCGGAGGAACAAACTACTCAAGCAAAACCTAGGTACATTTGCGGTTAAGTGTCGAGGCCTGCACGTACAGAATAATATTTCTTAGAAAGAAAGAATAAGTGCACCATTTTTACAGGAACCTCAAGTTTAACATCATCAGAATTTTTTGGTTGGCCCATTTAGCTATTCCCCGAGTTCATTGTTGTTGATGATAAAATACGTAAAGCGACCTATGTTGAGCTAATTTTTCGATAGGTCTCGCTACGAGTACGTAGGTTTGAAGAAAACTTTTTCGTACAAAAAAATAATAAAGTACGTAGATTCAGAATCTTGGAAGGTGAAAGATCGAATTCCGTTCCGAAATACGAAAACACCAATAAATGCTGAATACTAGCATACACCTTGAGAGAATTCTAAAAAGCCGTAGCTTCCTATAAAAGGAATAGAATTATTTTTCTACATACGTCCTGCAAAAACCATAAAATTCGTAGAAATTAATAATTAATAATAATTGAAAATGCACAAAACTGTAATTATCTGTTTTAAGCCATTGTGTTGCGCTGCGGGAAGCGGACTCTGATTAGGTCAGTAAAAAGGCATAACATAGGAATACAGTCAGTGGCCGACCTCATGAAATGTTAACCGAAGTTCCGAAACGCGTTTTTAATTAGATTACTTTAGTTAAACTGTCAATCGGTCATCGTGCAGTATAATCTCACGATATTTTAGGTACGCCAGAATGCCGACTTTTGATTGCATTTGTTGACTTATGCAAAAGAGACGCCAGGTGAAAAAAATGAATGCTTAAAAGTAGGCATTTCTTTTAGTTATTTGGGAGGCTTTATAGATTTAAATATATTTCACAGAAAGCGTGTTCGAAAATAAAAATTATTGGGTTCAGTCGATAGATAATTACGCCTGCTTTAAATTTAGTACTCAAAGCAACAGTATATGTACGAGTTTAACATTTTTTCCAAGTCCCAAATATTTCTGAACCCGATTGTTTCTAACAGTCACGTTTCTAGTCTACAAGCTGTATGCTTTCCATGTAGGGAGAAACTTACATTACTATATGCCATTAAGGAGATACTATATGGTGTTTATAAAATTTGGCAGTGGACGTGGACTATGCTGTACAGTTAGTGGGGGCTATTAATAAAACGGATGGATACGAGGCTATTTGAATGGACATTGCACGGTCTTAAAAATCTCCTAATTAGAAGCTTTTTCTTAAATCCGGAAGGTACTCGTTCTTTCGGCACAAATCTTGACAGACGTAAGCTGCCATAAAATGAGCGCAAGAAGGGATATTGTCAAGCATAATTTCCATAAAATATATTATAAGGGCATCGAAAATAAATCCAAAAAACGCGTAGCCTATTCTTGCTGGGCGTGGTGTGTACAGGCGACCGAAAAGAAACACCTTGAAAAGTTGGCATCTTGACCTGTCTTAGATACTATGGGATAATGGCACGCGATGGTCGACATTGCAAACTCGACAAAATAAAATTTTCCAATTAAAAACGCCTTTTGGAATTTCGGTTAACGTTGCATGAGATCGGTCACTGACTCTATTCCCATGTCATGCCTTTTTTTACTGACCTAATCAGAGACCGCTTCTCGCAGGTCAGCACAATCACGTAAGACGGATAATTACACTTTATAGGAAGCTACGGCTTTTTAGGATTCTCTGAAGGTGTATGCTAGTGTTCAACACTTATTGGTGTTTGCGTATTTCGGAACGGAATTTGATTTTTCAGCCTCCAAGATTCGAAGTCTACGTACTTTATTTTTTTGTACGAAAAAGCTTTCTTCAAGCCTACGTACTCGCAGCGAGACCCCCGTATTCCAGGTGGTCTTGTACTAGATTTCAAGGGAGGTCGGATTAGTGTTAGGGCTGGAACAGGGTAATCGATGCCGCCCTCACATTTGGAGCAAGGCCACTTGTCATGCGAGGGGTGTGTGCAATCGGGAGAAAGTAAAGAGAAGTACGAACCGCTAAATACCCCCAAAACGATGGCTGTGTGGTGCCATGCAGTCAGTACAATGGTCTGACCTTGAAGGACCCAAGAGCCCATCTTACGGATACATATCTGCCTCCCTGCCTTAGAAAGATATAACTGTTTACGGTCAGAACTGATTCAAAGTTGGCTCTAGGATTTGGGAAAAGTATTTTGCCTGATCGATCAGCACAGTGAGTGGGCATAGCAGAGATATTTTGAAGGTAAAAGATAAGCGGTTGACGGTCTGAACTTTTTGAAAACAATTTTTATTGGTATCTAACTTGGAGCATCATAAACAAAATCCCTACTATTTACGAAGAGGACCACAGAGTCCCCTACCATGTTTTCATTCAGGCTTACAGGCCATTTCACAAGGATGACTGCCTGATCCAGTGAAATAGAAAAATTACAATAAGATGCTGTGGCAGCGCAGTTACAGGGAAGGGGGGCGACTAAATGCCTAGATAAATGTCATAACAAGCACGACTTTGATAATACACAGGTGCAAGAAACGTCCAGCACCCTTAACGCTTTTTTGGGCGACACCAGAAACTCTAAAACCCAGCTTTTCAGAAACGTTTTATGAGTAAAATAGAGGATTTGAGCTGGCAATCAAGAAATGCACTACCATGAAACTTGCAGAGAGTTGATGAACCGATGAATCGACATTTTGGTGACTAATTTAAAACGAAGTTTTGATAAGCACTTGCCACGACTACATATGAATTTCCGAAAACGGAGAATTTCACAACACGCGAACATATTTCCTTACAAAAATCAAGCAGAAAGAAACTGTGACGTACTTCAAAGGTGCACTGAAACGGCTTCTCGCCCGTATGCACTAATTGATGACGTTTGAGTTTACTTGACTCCACAAAAGCCTTGCCACATTCTGCACAGACGTGTACTCTAGGACCATGTGTATGAAGGTGTTTGCGCATAGCCGAATTGTCACGAAACAGCTTGCCACAATTTTTGTGCGGGCAGAGAACAGTGCGGAGGGTCTGGTTCAAGCTGGAGCCATTGGAGTGTGATGCTGACCGTTCGGGGGAGAGTTGCTGATAGTTAATGCTACGAAATGCTGCATCGCGACGGCGGATGGCGTGCACCGTCATGTTCAAGAGACCGGACTGCAGCTGAGACTTCGCGGTGAAAGGAAGTTGGTTGCAAGCGAAAGCTGAAACAATAGTCAACAAACAGAGGAAATGTTGAATGCAGCTGGCATCGAGGCAGATGAAACAATTTATTGAAGACATAATTTTCATGATTCTGTTTTCTTTTTGCAGACATCTTCGATAAACAGACGCAAGGAATACTCATATACCTTCCATATATCTGTGTTTTTACAGTTTGAGTCTGAAAATAATTTTGAAAGAGAGGGCCTAACGAAAATGAGTATGGGGAACTGTAGACTTCTTAAAATTGGTGCGACTAGCAATAGGAAACCGCTTTCGCCTACATTATAATTAACTACGAAATTCTGTGTAGATTAGGCTTGTGTAGGGCTTTTATAATAGAGAATCATGATCCAGCAGTGTCGTAGGCTTTAAATAAAAAATAAGGACAAGTGTTTTGGTCAGTGCGAAAAACATGACCACATTCTGCAAGGCAAGTGTTAGAGTTATAGAGTTCTGTAAGGTCAGTGTCATGCCAGTGTGGTCATTCAGAAGTCGGCTTTGATTGAAGAAACGAACGAACAAATGTCACAGGAACTAGGTAAACCACCTCGTTAACTGCAGCACCCAATCTCATTTAGCGGTGCATTGTTTCATCATAATATTAAAAAAAACGATTCGAAGGAGTGGGGTAGGTGATGAAAAAAACAATTCCTAGAGTAATACACATTTTTTAAGCAAAGTATCTAGAGGAGTCGGGAATGGTGATTGGCGATGCTGTCGAACGGTTGGTAAACGTGGGGCGGAGCCAGGCTATAAACATTCAGTCATTTGGTCTAGATGGCTATCCTTATACACGCTAATGTTTATTTCTTATCTGCAAAGTATGGTCCAACAACGCTATATGATGGGACGAAACCGCCCGTCGTTTTCTAGTTCCAAACTCAGCCATTTTTGTCGCATCTAGAGCGAAAGGGAAAGAGTAGTTGGTTTCCGTCGGGAATGGTTGGCAGGTAACTGAGACAATTATCAGAAATGTGACTTCCCCTACTTCAAGAGAACGATTAGAAGTGGGATCTAAATACATTGAACCAGTTAATCCATATAAATTAGTTGTATTCTACAGAAAGCTCAGCAAGAACATGGCAGTAGAAATGTTTGTCTTGCCTACTGTCGTGTATTATGGCTTCGAGTGAAAATGCGAGAAAGCGGGTGGGGAAACGCCCAAGCTTTGTGCTGAGGACGCACAGCTGGTGCTAGGAAAATGAGTCCACCTTGTACTAACCCGCAATATCATCTGACAGTTATTCTGTCCAGGTCCTTAAGGATGCTTTACAGAACCAAGTCACATTCAAAGATGCCCTTAGTACGTAAATTGTTATAACAGCTATTAGAAATTGTATAAGCGAGGAATACTTATTTGCAAATAGGGCGAGCCTTGACTATTCACATTATGCGTAATTGCAGTATATCGTACTTATTGCTAGCAAACTTACAATGCCAGCATAAATATCCGGGAATCTTGGTATATACTTTACTATGCTTGTTCATAAACCCAGCTTAGACCATAAAGAAGGTTCCGAAAATAGATAACACCAACAATGACTGAGTTTCGTGTTGGATCTTTAGGAATTCACCAACTAAAACGCGTGTGGAAACAAATCAGGCACCGTTTGTCCCCCACTTTAAGCCACAACTGATCATCACCCAATCGGTTCATCCTAATTCGAATAACTCGAGTAAACTGAGTCTTGTTTCATGCAACACTCGATAAATCCTAATTTAAATCCATAGGATAAAAAATTCTACGATTGATTGACTAAAAATCGATTTAAATAGGTTCGACAGACAAACCATGAATGTAATCGGGAAAAAGCAATTGACTGTGACACAAAAACCTTTAGACATAGACTTATTACACCTGTGAAAACATCGACTACTAATTAAGATATTAAACGTCACATTTTGCTACCATTAATTGTTAATACATCATTTACTTCAGACTGGCTTATGCTCAGGATGAGGCTAGCTTATCAAGATACGGAAAGACACTTCCAAAGAAAACGATTTTACAGCCAGCAGTTTCATCTATGCATGTATTGTAATGAGC